ACTCATTTATACCCTGAGGAACAAAGAGGTGCACAAAGCTCTAAGAAGACTGATGAAGAGAACTTAAACCCAATGTCTCCCAGCTTCATTCAGAGGTTCCACAATTTATTTTAATAATAATAAAAACCCTTCAATGAAATCACTTCTATGACAGTAATCACAGAAAGCTGCTTTTTTTGTCATCACCCACACAATAATCCAACAAATTAGCCTATAATGAGAATTATTAATGTGGCAGCACCAAGGAGGCATCGTAGAACAAACTAAAGCAGAATAAATCCACCACTAATGCACAGTTATTGTGTCAGGAACGTGTTGAAGAACAATAGAAAATAACTGGAAGGGCTCTGAGTAGCAGGATCAACACAAGGGGGGGGGGGAGTGAACTGTGCCGTATGCATTGCAAGGAGGAACCCTGATGTGAATCATCTCCTAGTGCAATGGTTTTCAACCAGTGTGCCATGACACCCTGGGATGTCTTGAATGATGGTCAGAGGTTCTGTGGGCAACATTGGCCTCTTTCTCTCTTTCCTTCCCTCCCTCCTCTGATGCCCTCTCACTTCTCTGCCTCTCAAAGGCTTGCACAGCTGTTTATTGCAGCAGCCCTGGGTGCAGTGGCGTAGCGTGGGTTGTCAGCACCCGGGGCAAGGCAAGTAATTTGCGCCCCCTAACCCGTGGATTTGCGCCCCCTAACCCGTGGATTTGCCCTAACCCCAGATGTTGCGCCCGGTGCGGCCAGCCCCCCCTGCACCCCCCACCCTACGCCACTGCCTGGGTGCAAGCTACCTTGGCGAATGATGCCTCTAGGAGGTGCCTCTCTTTGGGGGGGGCAGCTCAGAAACTGGGGCGGCAGCAGCGGCTGTCCATAGGACTCCCAAAGAGAGGGGAGAGGAGAGGAGGCTGAGGGAGCCCTCCCCAAGGGATGGTGTTTGAAAAAGGGTGAGAGGCTGCCAGCTCTGCAGGCAAGGGGTGACATAACTGGGCTGCTGAGCCCCACAGGGGTGTAGTAGTTGCTCAAGGGAGCGGGGAACTCAAAAAGGTCAAAAACCTTTGTCCTAGTGAATTTTGTGACTGAGTGGTGACATGAACCCAGATGTTCCCCTGGACCAAATCCTGTTCTCTAACTGCTACACCTCTCCACATTTCCAAACAGCAATTTGGACTACTCTGAATATTAATAAGCAATAAAATAAATTTCTTCAAGCAACCTTCTAAGTGTCCACATTGCTTGTTGGTTCAAAGAGGGCAGAGACATTCTTCCTCCCTTTTCCTTAAGGGGTGAAGTAGTCCTTTCCCTCCCATCCCTTCTCTGGTGCAAGGCACCCTCTCCTGAGGAAATTGTGCGGAGGAGGAGGAGGAGGAGGAGGACGGATCTCTGAGGCTTCCTTGCTCATTGCTGCAGTGTAAGATGTAGCTTTCCCCTAATTATTCAGTCTGAGCTCTGGTCCTTCTGGGACTCCATCGGAGAGCTGCTGAAAAGTGGGGAGGCAGCTTCGTCGTCCTCCTTCAGGAAGGAATCATAAAATAAGCTCCCCTGACCCCACCAGGCCCCTTTCGAGTTAGAGCAACCATGCTAGGGTGCCCATGTATACATCCAGAAGTATGCAGATACTATGAGAGATGATGCTAAGCCAGAAGAGTCAAGGCTGAATGAGGCAGACTAACCAAGGCGTGCTCTGGTCCATGGGGTCACGAAGAGTCGGACATGACTAAACGACTAAACAACAACAACAAACCAAGGTAAGCATTGATGGGGGAAATCCTTTCCTTCCCACCCCCATCCTTTACATTAAACATGATGTAGCTGATTCCAAACGTATGCCATTGTGTTCCGCTGCCTCCACCTGTCTCCTGTTCTGTCCCTTTACCCCCTCCCCTTGACACCCAAAAATGTTAATGCTCTTTCCACTTTTTAAAGACTTTTCGTTTATTCACTTTCAACCTCCATCTGCTTCAGCTCCTTCTGCACAGACAGAATAGAAAGGTGTAAAGCAGCCTTTCCCAGTGTGCTGCCCTCCCAGCGTTTTGAACAACTCCCCTCAACTCCTGCAAGCCTTCCCTTTCCAACCGCACCACTCCTCTTCCATGCTCTGCCTACCATCTCCAGAAAGGGCTTGGCAAAAACATGTCTGCAGTCATGGACAGCTGCTGCCCGTCGGCATAGTTCTGAGATAGGTGGACTAATGCTCTAGCTTTGTATAAGGCAGTTTCCTGTCTTCCTTGGTTCACATATCTCCTCAGGGTGTCTTCCTCACTGCAGCCTCGTGGCTACATTGGCCCATCTCTGGTCTACAGAACTCCATCCACAGTCAGTCCTGTAAGAGTTTCAGGGGCCCAGGGTTGAGGAACCTGCTTCCCTATATCAAAGACCCTCATAGCAGACCAAGAGGCCAACCTATGGACGACTCCATGAGATTAATGGCTTATGCTAATTTTATTTATCGCAAACGGATTATGTCTTATTGTCCTCTGTCCAGCGATCTCAGAATGCAGTGCAGGGTATATGCATTTTAAATAAATAGATAACATTTACCAGTGTGCAAAACTGACCTAGGCATAATGAGTGTGCTTCTTACTGAGACAGGGGTGAGTTAGTGTGAGGAGTGTCTACTTGAGAAATAAAGGGGCCATAAATTATAGAATGGATGAATGTGAAATGAAGAAAAGAAGAGCTATAAAATGAAACGAAATGAAGAGCAGAGCAGAGATTACATATTCAATGTTCTCAATTCATGGGATGTACTGTAGCACCTTTCACAATACTTCAGTGAGTTATTTGCTTTTCTTGTCTCCCTCCCTAAAGTTTCTCACCCCCATATTTTCGAGGCATTTGCCTGGAAATGAACAACAACACTTTATTGTATTTAGCTAAAAGACATTACAATCCAATTACAGATCCAACAAATAGAATAAAAATAAAACCTGTTAAAAGAGATCCATAATCCATTCCGGAGGTCCGTTCGTAAACCAAAACAGTTCGTAACCCAAGGCATGTTTTCGCCAATGGGGCCTCCAAAAAAAGTTGTTCGTAATCCCCCCAAAATTGTTTGTAAACCAAAAAAATTGTTTGTAATGCAAAAAAAAGTTCACAAACCGGGATGCGCACTTCTGAGTTTGACTTGGTCGTAACCCAAAATGGTTGTAAACTAGGCTATTTGCAAACCAAGGTACCACTGTATTTGCAATAAACCAAATCAATGAATCCCTGCACAGTCTACAGCACTGTCTTTAATGAAAATAGCACAAATACTTTTAGCGACTTTAGCAAATAAGGCTGTTTTATATGTGACAAGCGGATCACAGTCAGATAAGAGCCGGCATATTTTCACTTCAGGGGTCTGTCCCTGTAGCAGAGCCAGCAGCTGTACCAGTTTGAAAGCACGTCAAAGTGCAAGTAGATAAATAGGTACGGCTCTGGCGGGAAAGTAAACGGCGTTTCAGTGTGCTGCTCTGGTTCGCCAGAAGCGGCTTAGTCATGCTGGCCACATGACCCGGAAGCTGTACGCTGGCTCCCTCTGCCAGTAAAGCGAGATGAGTGCCGCAACCCCAGAGTCAGCCACGACTGGACCTAACAGTCAGGGGTCACTTTACCTTTACTTATAGCTAGATTTTTTGACCAAACTGCGGGAGGCAGTGGAAGACAGGAGTGCCTGGTGTGCTCTGGACCATGGGGTCACGAAGAGTCGGAGACGACTAAACGACTAAACAACAACATGGCTACATTTCAGAAAGTGGTACCAGTAGGAAATTTTTGAGATATGGGTTAAAGATAGGTCTTGCTCGTTATCCTGTTTATAAATCCAATAGCAGTCTTTTAATTCCAGGTAATACAAAGATATCTGTTGTCAGGTTTTTTGAGGCTAGGCGGTCTTGTACTATCTTAGCCCAGCCACACTTCTTCACTGTTCCTCCTGCCTGGAAAAGCCTCTGGAGAGGGGATTTTGAAGCTTGAGGTGGAACACTGATTGAGCATCTTTATTGCAAAATGCTCCCTTCTGAAGTTTCCCTTTAAACAAACAAACAAAAGCACCTTTGTGTTTCTGTTACTTGAGTTTGCAGCTAATACGTAGTCAGGTCATTAATAATCTCTTAAGCTTTTCTAAACTAAAAGGAACCCATTTCTTTTTAGATCTTTTTAGTAGGAAAAGCCTTCAGTTCAAAAGCATGTCAAAGTGCAAGTAGATAAATAGGTACCTCTCCGACGGAAAGGTAAACGCCAGAAGCGGCTTAGTCATGCTGGCCACATGACCCGGAAGCTGAATCCGGCTCCCTCGGCCAATAAAGCGAGATGAGTGCCGCCAGAGTCGGCCACGACTGAACCTAATGGTCAGGGGTCCCTTTACCTTTAAAGTGCATTATACAAATGCGACTCTAGATGGCGATGGTGAGCTATGGCAAATTCCATATATTTTTCAAAACTTTTTTTTTAAAAAAAGCATTTTCACAATGTTTTTTTATATGTGTCTAGTTTCCACCCAGTAGAGTTCAAGGGCACATCCCAGCCAAGTGAAAACAGTTAAGACAATGAAGAACAGGGTAGGTAGACCTAACGAAAGACCTACAGAACCTCTGGAGAGCTATGTGCCAGGTTGTTTTTCTCAAAGATTGCTATAGCAAGGCGGGGTGAACTGAGCAGTAGCCTCTCCAAGCACCACCTTCCTAAATTGGTCCTTAGTGTAGAAACTGAACCAGAACATGTGGGATTCAAGATGTTTCTAAAAGACAACTCCCATCATCCCTTGCTATTCATTGGCTATGCTTTCAGGACTGATGGAGGCTGTGGTTCAGGAACGTCAGGAGGGCTAAAGGTTCCTCACCCCTGTACGAATCAAGTGTAGCATGTGTTCTTTCCTCATGTGTGTGATTCCTGGATCGTATTCGTACAGTTATTGGGTCCTCGGTCTTAGAAATGTGTCACTATGGCTCTTGTGTCAGCTGCTCATGCCAGTTTCCATTTTGAAGTGGTCTTTTGTTACTGTTTTTGCATCTTATTCCAGATAATGTACGGGGGAGCAGTATGGGAAGAAGGTAACCACAGCTTCCAAGCAGAATTTGTGTTATTGGGAATGGCTGACCGCCCACACTTGGAGATGTTTCTCTTTGGTCTTGTCCTGATCTGCTACACGATGACCCTGCTAGGCAACACGACCATCATTGTGGTGTCATGGCTGGACCCCCATCTCCACACCCCCATGTATTTCTTTCTCACTAATCTCTCTGTCCTTGATCTTTGCTTCACCACCAGTGTGGGCCCTCAGATGCTGGTGAACTTCTGGAGGAAAAGCAAGACCATCAGTTATGGTGCCTGTGTGGCCCAGCTCTACATCTTCCTTGCTCTGGGCTCCACAGAATGTATTCTTTTGGCTTTCATGGCCTACGACCGCTATGCTGCCATTTGCCACCCGCTGCGCTACGGTGCCATTATGAGCCAATCCCTATGCTTCAAAATGGCTGCCGTTTCCTGGATTAGTGGCTTAACAACCTCAGTGGTGGAGACGGTAATGACTCTTCGCCTCCCGCGGTGTGGACAAAACCGGGTGGATCACTTTTTCTGCGAGGTGCCAGCCTTAATCAAGTTGGCCTGTGTTGACACCTCTCTCAATGAGGCTGTGCTCTTTGCTTCCAGTGTAGTGTTCCTTGTAGTACCACTAGGACTCATTATGGTCTCATACGGCTACATTGTAGTTGCTGCGCTGGCAATCCGCTCAGCTGAGGGCAGGCAAAAGGCCTTCAACACCTGTGCCTCCCACTTGATTGTGGTGTCCCTGTTTTATGGGACGGCCATTTTCAGTTACCTCCAGCCCCCGTCCAACTACTCCCGGGATCAGGGCAAGATGGTTTCCCTTTTCTATACATTTGTTGTCACCATGTTTAATCCATTAATCTATACGCTGAGGAACAAAGAGGTACACAAAGCTCTGAGAAGAGTAATGAAGCGGAATTAACGTACCCGGCTTCATTAAGAGGTTCTGCTATTTTTCTTTTTTTAAAAAAAGATTCCTTGTCGTTGACTTGCTTGGAGCTGTTTACAGTACAAAGCTTCCTATTTATTTTGTACCACCCATAGTTGAATCCAATGAATTAGGCTGGATTGTGTATTGCGATTAAAGTCCTTCTAGGAAGTTCTATGAGGCAACCATATGTTTGTGGGAAGGCAACATGCAGGACTTGAGTTCAGCAGTCCTCTACCCATGTGATTACCCCAAACCCAAAGATCTCCAAATTCTCAACTTGGCATTCCCAGCATTTATTGCCCCTGTTCACTAAGCCCTGTTACCTCTTCAGCTTCTGATACTTCCTCCTCCCAGTCTTCTCCTCTGTCCACTTATCATTGTCCCACCACCACTCCCTGGGACCCGATCCTTATTCTCTTGCTGGTTCCCCAGCTGGTTCCCCACCACCATTTCTCTGCATCCAACCAGTTCATACCACATAGATTTCTCAGCTTTGATTATATCAAGCAGATCAACTCTAGCCCTGGTCACTAATAGTTGATAATAAATGGAGGGAAGATGGTCCCATCTGTGTTGTGCTTCCAAATCCATAATCTCTTTTCCCAACCCTTTCTCCCCCCCCATGTTTCTTCTTTCCCCCCTGCAACTACAATAATCCTACGTATCACTGGTTTGAAAGCACTCCACAATATACAGAGTTGTATCATCTACCGATCCACAATCAAGTCTGAAATATTCATGTATTTCCCTCTGAATCTGTTGTCTAGCTTCTCTTTTATCCACTATAGCAAGGTCAAAATGACAAGTTATTTCTCCTCGGTGTAAATTCCATTCTGTCCATCGAGCATCAACAGAGGAATGATCCGAAACCAACTTGAGTTCAATTTTAGCTGCTGCCTCTGCTCAACATAATCTGGGAGATATTAATATGAGGTTTTTCTTTGAATAGGAGTTGCAATTCACTGAGAGAGAAACTTAGGGTAGCTGGGTAAAGGAAGAACAAAACTGCTGGACTTTACATTAGGAGTATGCAGGGGGAGTACAGTGGCACCTCTGGTTGCGAACGGGATCTATTCTGGAGGCCTGTTTGCAACCTGAAAAGAACGCAACCCGCGCCTGCGCGTGCGTGGGTCATGATCCGCCAGTTCTGCGCATGCGCGTGATGTCATTTTACGCGTCTGCGCATGTGCGAGTGGTGAAACCTGGAAGTAACCCTTCCTGATACTTCCAGGTCGCCGCGGGACGCAACCTGAAAACGTGCAACCTGAAGCAAACGTAACATGAGGTATGACTGTATATGGGAAAAGAGAGAAGAGAAAAGGAGAGGGAGGAATACTCTTCTACGTGCACCAAAACTAAGAGACAGAACACAGTTTAAAGCAAATTACAGCCCCAAGAAGGCTATCAATGGCTGCTGGCCATGACAGCTACACTCTGGCTCAAAGTTCAGAGGCAGTAATGCTTCTGAATGCCATTTCCTGGAAATTGCAGGAGGTGGAGTGCTCTTGTGCTTGAGTCCCTGCTTGCGGGACATCTGGGTGGCCGCTGTGAGAATGGGATGCTGGACTAGATGTGTCATTGGCCTGATCCAGCAGGCTTCTTCTCATGTTCTCAGGGTGGGTCCTAAAATCTCTCAAGTATCAAAGCAACCACATTATTGTGTGGACAAGTTGCAGGATACACCTGCAAAAGGCCGCCGTTCTGGAAAGCTCCTAGATGCTCCTCACATACCAGTGTCAGGCTTCGGGGAATCGGATCTCTCCCCCAGTGGCAGTAAATAAGCAGATCAAATGAAAGGAGCGTTCTTACCAGTTATTTTCTTTAATAATCACAGAGAGAGACAAAGGAATGCATCTCTCTCTAGAAATGGCATTGCTCCCAGTACAGGTTCACCCCCTCCGTCCCCCTTAATATACGGCACTCCTATGTCGGGTAATCTGAGCTTGTTGCAGCTGAGCTCTCGGTTGGGGGCGGGTCAGGAATGCTTTCCAAGGACACTGAATCTGCCAGCTCTCTCTCCTGGTGTTTCCTCTTCTAGCTGTTCCTCACCCAGTATTTCCCAGCTTTTCCCCTCTGGACTGTGCCCCTCTGCAAACCACTGTTCTAAATCAATACTGTCTTCCTGCCCTTGGGAAGGTTCCGGAGAAGGGGGTCGGCCCCCACCATTCCTCCTCAGTCCTGCCCCTGACAACCACATTTCATTCTGCCACATGGTGGCAACAGCCTCAGCTGAACCTCTGTAACTGGACTTGCAGTTCTCCTGGACTGGTGTTTTGATGGCATCTACACTTCAAAAAAAAAGGGACGCGAGTGGCACTGTGGGTTAAACCACAGAGCCTAGGACTTGCCGATCAGAAGGCTGGTGGTTCGAATCCCCGCAACGGGGTGAGCTCCCGTTGCTTGGTCCCTGCTCCTGCCAACCTAGCAGTTCGAAAGCACATCAAAGTGCAAGTAGATAAATAGGTGGGAAGGTAAACAGTGTACCGCTCCGGCGGGAAGGTAAACAGTGTTTCCGTGCACTGCTCTGGTTCACCAGAAGTGGCTTAGTCATGCTGGCCACATGACCCGGAAGCTGTACGCCGGCTCCCTCGGCCAATAAAGTGAGATGAGCGCTGCAACCCCAGAGTCGGCCATGACTGGACCTAACACTTCAAAAATATTTTTGCATAGATGAGAAGCACCCATCCCGTGGTAAACATCCATCTGGAAGCAGCACCATAGTTATAACTGCAATGTGTTGCGTTTAGGGAACTCTGTGGGGTCGTCGCCAACCACCCTGTTCCGTTTGTGCAAGGATTTCCACAACTCCCCTCCCTTTCATCTCCCCACTAATTTGCTCCAGAGTCCAGAAGGAAGACCCAGAATGGATTTGGAAAGGCATATGGGGAAGTGGGGGTTAACACTTGCTTTGACACAGCATCATCTGACATCCCAGCAAACAAATCAGGATGAATGCTCACTAAATAGCCAACATGGTCTAATCTCCCTGCAAATAAAGCAGGATGAAGGCTCAACAAAACAAGCCATTTGTAAGTGCCTTGACTTTCATCTGCCAGGTTTCTCCCCCCTCCCCGCTCCCCCAGTTTGAGGAGGTGCATTTAAATATCTCCAGTATCTCCTTAGGAAACACATACAAAGGCCGCAGTCTCAGGACCCCAGACATATCATAAGCTGCCAAAAGCCCAAGGGTGTAAAATGATTTTAAGTATGGCGCCTAAAAGACTGTAGGCTACTCAGGAGGTGATGGCCTCTCCTTCCTTGAAGGTTTCAAAGTGGAGGTTTGATAGCCACCTGTCATGGATGCTTTGGTTGAGATTCCTGCGTTCCAAAGGGTTAGACTGGGATGACTCTCAGAGTTCCTTCCAACTGCATAATTCGATGATTCTGTGGCATGTGGGCCCTGCATGAGCGTGGCCTTCAACAAGTGTGTGTAGGGGGAGATAGAGATTGCCCATTCCTGCCCTCTTTTACTTCACTGATCTAAACAGCTCCATGGACTAAAGAGACGGGTATCTGTAGCATCAACGATGCCGATTTAGGCTGCGGAAACAGCACAACAGGAAGGAGTTAACAAACATACCCCCCAATGTCTCTTCTCCTATTAAATTAATATCTGAGATGTTGCCGGTCCAATGACAGGTCTCCAGAGCCATGTCTGTTTAGGCCATCACTGTCTATAGAGAAGGTTGAATGAGCTGGGAGTGAAATGTCGTCCAAGGGATCCTGGTCCCTACTGGAAGCCATCACTGCACCCCACCATTCCTCATTAATTGCCACCATGTGGCACAGCGGGCCTTGTTAGTGTCTCTCTGTTGGGGATGGCAACACCGGAGAGCCCTGTTTCTTCTTAATGCCGCTTGCTATTTATGAGAACGGAGACGGTAAACAAGCATTCAGTTCTTTAGCATGCGGGAGTCTCTTGATGAGCCCCAAAGGGAGAGCCAAGAAGTAACAAAGTCGGAGAGTGTTGCAGCAAAGTTTCAGGGAATCCATAGGGGAGCTGGCACTTCTACAAGTACCCAGAAAAACTCCAGCACACTCAATGACTGCATGGAGCGATGGAGAAAATGTCCCCTGATAACGCAGCTCTTAAGTAGGGGCGGGGAGAACCTCGGGTTCAGGTGCTGAATAATAGATACCGGTTGTATTTGCTCGATTGATTTCCATTCTGGATATGGGACAAATCTGCAGGCGTCAGCAGTTTCTTGTTTCTCTTTTCGTTGGACATCCCCAGCTGCAACCACCTAGGATGGCCAAATACGAAAGAGAGAACTGCGCTCTTGCACCTTTAATAATCTTCTGCGCAACTGCTAAAGGTGCAGGAACCCCTTGTCCTCTTTTGCACCTGGATACCTTAGACTGAGGGGGACGCAGGTGGCGCTGTGGGTTAAACCACAGAGCCTAGGACTTGCCGATCAGAAGGTCGGCAGTTCGAATCCCTGGGATGGGGTGAGCTCCCGTTGCTCGGTCCCTGCTCCTGCCAACCTAGCAGTTCAAAAGCACGTCAAAGTGCAAGTAGATAAATAGGTACCGCTCCGGCGGGAAGGTAAACGGCGTTTCCGTGCACTGCTTGGTTCGCCAGAAGCAGCTTAGTCATGTGGCCACATGACCCGGAAGCTGTACGCCGGCTCCCTCGGCCAATAAAGCGAGATGAGCGCCGCAACCCCAGAGTCGGTCACGACTGGACCTAATGGTCAGGGGTCCCTTTACCTTTACCTTAGACTGAGAGCATGTAGAGGATGGGCAGGAAAGACCAATATTGAACTGTTCCCATAACCCATGGCCCTCTAGATATTAGAAACCAAGATACTTCCTTTTATCGGTGACACTGATAGGGTTTTTTTTGTTTTTGTAGCTGTTCCAGACATTGTTTTGAAGATGCCCGGAGCATCCTTGTTTGTTTTTCCTGCATGGCCCCAGATTATCATTTTCCTCCAGGGCTGAGCACACCCTTTGAGCACACAGAGAGGGAGAGAAGGAAGCAATAGTCC